CACACACACACACACACACACACACACACACACACACACCGACATACACACGCACACACACACACACTCACACACACATACACACACAGGCACACACAAACGCACACAACTGTACATGTAATTATGAAAATAGCTAAAGACACAGCATAAAGTAAAAATTACAGATCTCAAATTTTGAGTATTAAATACTGCTCTACTTCAAGCAGTGTCTCAGAATATACAAGACCAACAATACCCGCTTAAAAACGCAGTTATATCCATTCCATTTGGTCCCATTAGCGAAAAGACGAGAACCAGGATGTCTGTGTTAATAATAAATTGATTAACCGAGTGTGTCATTGACATTACTCTCCTACCCCATGTGAGTCACCTGATCATGAACGGTACCATTCATCCAGTACTACTTAGAATTGTGGCCATAAAGCATACGAAAAAGTAGTAAGTGATATATAGGTGTTAACCTTTTTCACCGCTGACACCTTCTACACTTCTCCAACCTCATGCGGTGGATGAGACAAAGTCACACGAGGCGGAGATAACAAAGCCAACGATTAGTTTGTTGTGCATGATTTTTCTGAGCCTACTTTCTGTTTCACATGTTTCTATTATGTTTCTAACGTTATCATTTATTTGAATGTGGATGTAACTAATTTTCCTACGTCAAAAGCTGTATCTATGTGCTCTTTATATATTTTTTTTCTGAATGTCTGTTGTTTCAAGTGCACCTAATAAGACTCACTAAGTTTGACAGGGATTCCTAAGTCGGTCTTGGCGTCTTTTTATTTTTCCGTCCAGAGATGCTGGACTCTCCTGCAATTATAAAAGAAATGTTCCAAATACAATAGTCATAATTTGTATACTCCTGCATGTCTCAATGAGAGAATAATAATTAAATAAAACAATGACAACTAGATTAGTAAAATGTAATCAAAGGTTGGTGTACAAGACCAAAAAAACGACACCAATGATATCAAACGATAACGTTTCACAAGATTAAAACAATATTTTACCGAGCTGATTTGTTGGGTGAAATGTCAGCTCTATCTGTAACTTGTGTGTTCACTTATAAAATAAGTGGCCATTGATAACAAGCGTTATATTGCGTCCCGTATCTGCCTAAAAGATCTGCGTAACTATCAGTGCTATCGATAATATGGAAAACTCTCTATTCAGAAACTAAATGTCCTGACAGATATAGGAAAGTCACGATCAGGCCATCTGGGAGAGCAGAGAACAGAAACACTGTCAGATGAAAATGCATAATCTAATCAGGAAAGTAAACCCAGGCGTCGAAGAACATAAAGAAAATGTTAAAAACCAAGTATTGCTGTTATTGATTCTAATGAAAGGGGTGTATACACTTAACAATTATTCTTGAAAACCTTGGCTGTATCGCCCACTTGTCGGCAAGTTAGTAGTTGGCGGTGAAGATCAGTTGGATAGGGACAGGTGTTACTCATGCCCCTCTTGAAATACATTGTGAATAGGCGTTACGAGATGTTCAGCATGTTATAAAGGTGGCAAAAAAGGGCGTTACCTATGAAGAAAAGTTTGACACGCACTAACTGCACTAAACGAAACCCATACAAAATATTGCAATATTCTTGCAAAATAGATACATGTATAACATTTTTCAACGTTTACGGTGTAACCTTTAAGCTCACCATTGCAACAGGCATAAGAAATGATTTCAATTTTTGAGAGGGACATTTTTTTCATGGGGTAACTCAATTCACCTCAACGTTTTATCCCTCTCAGCCTGTGGAAAGGCGGGAAAGGGGAGGGTGGGGTAACGTTGGCACGGACAGGCGGGGCTCAAGCAGTCTTTTTTTTTTATCACAGTAGGCAGAAGTTTAGTCTATAGTGTAGGGGAAATTAATTGTTCCTTGATGAGTTAACAGAGGGGCGTGCCGTTAACGCAGAGGCATGGTATCATGCTGGATTACGGGACAGATGAAGCTGGCTCGAATGAATCATCAGGGGGCTCGTCTGATCTTGAGTTGTTTTCGGGAGTTGTAAGGCTCCCCACCCATTTCGTTTAGTCGTATCGGAGACAGATAGATATTGGAGTTAGAAGTCCTGGTCACAATATTTGAAGGGCCTTTTAAACCGTGTCATATCGCAATTTAAAAAAGTCTAAATTGACTAGCAAACTGTTTACGCACACCTAGAGCGCAAAAGAAAGGAAGCAATAAAAATAATTGCTGACGACAGTCTGGGTTTTCAAAAAAGGCATGTTAAACAGTTGACCCGGCTTGGTTTGCTTGTAATTCTTATGTGTCCATTGCTACACAAAGGCACTAAATGAGAAGCTAAAGTAACTCACTACCCTAGAAGTACAAAGTTCTATCTGCTCAATACCTAGTTTTTAGAAATGTGACGTTAAAAATATTGAGTCACATGTCAAGCGTTTTCGAATACATTTATTTGAATATCTTGATAACGTCTCCGAATAATCTTACATATTTTGGATAGAGCAGATAGAACACTAATTTGGTGTCTGACCTTGTGTCCTTAGTAAATTAAAACGGCCAAAAATATCAGGTAGAACTTTGTGATTTTAAGTTGACGAACTGACAGCTAATCAAGAGTTGAGATAACAATGCAAAGAATTAATAATAATAATAACACGTATTCGTTTAAGTTTAATTTGAGGAGAGAAAAACACTAAAGTACTGTTATAATTGCTTCATATTTTTGTTTTATGTGATTTATATTCAAAGCAAGATATCCTTGCGTGAGATTCTAAAGCAATCGTTTCCGTTTCAACTAATTTTTTGGTGTTTAAAAAGCATTCATTTACTTAGGGAACCAATTGGGAGGAAAAGGGGGGGGGGGGGGGGGGGGGGTGCCTCCCCCCCCCCCCCCCCCCCCCCCCCCCCCCCGACATCTATTTTGAGCCTTCACTCTGGCTGTACAAGTGCAGTGATAAAATAATTGTTTTCCCGGATTTTTTTTATTACTGTGGTTGCCTTTGGCTCTTACTGTAAACTAAGCACAAAGACTTTGCTTTTACAAGGATTGCAGCCAGCCATGTTTCCACAATGCCCTGACCCGTGAAACATTTAGGGGTTTATAGAGTTTTCAACCTTATTTAGGAGTCGATCCAAAACACGGTTCACCGTACAGAATATAATCCGCCCATACTCGTTCAATCATTCAAAAGTACCATTTGAAACTAATAGAACTAAATTTTTATCCAAAGATTAGAAACGTCTAAGTTAGTTTACCGGTTTTTATTTATTTATTTATCTGTTTATTTATTTATTTATTTATTCATTTATTTATTTATTTATTAATCTATTGAGCTTCTTGGTCATTGAATACGTACCTGAAGGCCTATAACTAATTTGAACCGCAACTTCTTGTTTATCTAATCACAAAGTGTCCATAACTTCTTTGTGGTTATCACTTGAATCCTGCTTGGTATCATGACAACAGGTTATGTGTTATCGGTTGGTCGTTCGATACCCGACACGTGCTAAAAGAATTTATGTTAAGAGTTGAAGCCTCAAGTGAACGGCGACTGGCTTATATCAGTGTAAAACTCTTGACTGATTGTATTAAAGCTCAAATTGTAGAAGATTGTGTTAAGCGTAAACTGTAAGAGGTTGTATCACCCACAAACTGTGAAAACAAAGCTCTGTCGTTTATTGTGGAGAAAACCCGCAGTGTGTACAGTCATGCGTTGCTTGTTTCTCTCAGCTGTGTGCCTGGCTCTCGTGGTCAGTGTTTTCTCCAAGGACGTGAGGGTGCTGTCCGAGCACAAGCTACGAGCTTATGATGAGACCAGAATGCTCTTTGACTTCTTCGAGAGCCAAGTTCTGGTAGATCCGAATTCGGTCCGATTTGTTGATGAAGAAACCGTCTACAGGGTAAGATATATTCCGGCTGATATTTTCTTTTTCCTGAAAACTGCGCTTTTAAGTAGTATAGTACTGGTCAACGCCACTTTTAACAAAGTAACGCCGTTTAAAGATGAGACCACGGACTGAATTATGTATTTGCTCCACTCTCTCCTACAGAAGAGCAGTAACGCTCATTGTTCCATTCTTTTGTGTCAATGTATTACTTCTTTAAACGTAGAACCGGGAGTTCACGAAGTGAAAGGTTTTATAGCTTGTAGCCTTGCTTGACTGAGTTTCGACGGGAGTCGGGGAATGGTATGGGGGGGGGGGGAATTCAATATCTTTACCAGTATCTTAGATATCAGTACCACACGGGTTGAATTCCATCTTAAACTTCTATTTTGTACGTATTAAAATTAGCTAAATTTCCAACGGAACAGAATAAGACCAGAACTTCCCCCAATGTGCTCTTTGTGTGATTATGCACATGAGACTGGATCATCACCTGATCCACTGCACAGTCCCAACTGACATCCGAGCCACACTTCTCCCTCCGAGAACTAACACTGACTGAAGACTACGGAACATTAAGGCAACAGCAGAAAACCTGCACATACCACTACATGGCATTGGACAGAAGGGCAAGGGCCTAACTGTTGCCTAATCGATAACAATTAGTATTAAAAATCTTTAAAAATTGTATACGTTTTGTTACAAGGTATCACTGTCTTACGTTCGACAGCGATACACGCAATTTATCACGTACGTACAGTATGTTCTTTTGCGACTTTACAGGCAATCTTAAAGCAGAAGGCATGGTTAAACTTTGCCTGTGCGATAGACTTTGAGATAGTAGACTATCCATGTACTGCTCCCCTACTTTCAGGTCTTGATTTCCTTGATTTGCTCCAAAGGAGAGATACGATCCGTAGGCCTACGTTTTTAATCAAGGAAGGTGTAAGAGGGAGTTTTACTATTTTCCATTTGTGAAAGGGATGTCTTGTCTAGTACGGAATTCTGGAATTTTGAATTTTATCTGCAGAACATTCTTCAAAAATGGGCAAGCAAAACCGAAGAGCAAGTGATTTGACAAAGATCCTGATACATGTACGTGCCTGTTTCGAATGATGATTGATAGGGCCGTAATGTCCACGAGAAAGTCACAGATCAATGCTTGCTGTCATAACTGTGTTATTCAGGTGCTCGTCAAAATAATGAAATCGAAGAGACCGACATGTTAGATCCCTTCGGCAATTTTTATCGATTTAGGTTCAGCACATTTATGCCTATTTAAAACACATTTACTGTGTGAAATTTATTGAAAACATTTGTCAAAGACCAAAAAAAAGACCCCAAAAAAACCAGTTTCCTAAAACACTGGAGCTAGAGAAATTATCAAACCTTGGCGACTATTGTCTCGCTAATTTTACTCTGACACTCTGCCACATCCATCTCCTTCAATCGTATACATCTCGACTTAGATTCAAATTTGTGGAGTATATTTAATATCAAAAGCAAGGCTAGTGAACAGGCTTTAATGTTATACAAACAAATCCATATGCCCAAAAGTGTACGAGCGTCTGGTAAGATAAAATTATCTGTGACCCATTGTCGTGTAGGAAATGGTTGACATTATGTGGTGGAAGTCTAAGGCATTGTCGGTGTAATAAAGAAAAAAAAAAGTTATTATTAACTCTTTAACGACCTGCTGGACACACATGTCTGGGTAGTGGAATGCAAAAGGCAATATTACAGCACATTTCAAGCCATCGTAAACAAATCAGAAACACAACTTTGTAGTACACATGTCGTTGTCAACATTTACCATTTGCTGCTATGAAAACATATCTCGTAATAGAAAAATCTGTATAATTATGAGAAAGTAAATCTTCCTTTTTAAAATATTAGCGTATAAAAAGCTATTGCATTACACCCACTCCACCTTCAAATCCTATAACACTATTATAAGGTATGGGGCTTCACTAATATACTAACGCTGAAGCCAAGAGAGAACCGGAAAGCTTGATTATCTTCAAGTGGAAATGAAGCTTTTAAAAGACCTTTAAATGTTGCTAACTCTTCCCTGCAAGAATTAGTCTCTTTGGTTAAGGCAAAGGCTATAAACCATCTTAATCCCTATTTCTTCTATTTCTCTTTAAGGAATATCCTCCCACATTTGTCATCGTTATTTATTATTATTATTATC